ACCTTGGCCTAGGCCGCGAGGGGACCCCGTATCTTGGGCGGCCTCCCCAATTTTGCCATCGCCCACCCCTTCCCTATCACGAGCCGGCCGCCTTCCACGCGTTTCGCTCCTACACAACAGCTCATCTAATCTTTGGCGCATTGAACCTATCTGTAGTCCGTAGTCCGGAATGTCAAAATTAAACTCACCGCCCTCCGCCATCATTGCCAGCACTTAATGACTAGGTTTTTAATAGAAGTATTTATCAAACAGTCGAACCAATTTCAGATAGAATTATTTATAACTTATCTTGACCTTTAAACCTTAATTTTCCCTATACTCCTAATGGTATCTTTTTTTGCACCGGTCCCGCCGGAGGTTCCAATTGTAACGAACGACGTCTCGCGACCAACTAGTGGCCGCACCGCGGACGTCACCTCTCAGTAGTTACAATAATAAAAGTGCCCAATGGGTTCGACTGCCGCTTTCGCTTGCAGATTTCACAAACAAATTTCGACCAAGTACTGGCAATAATGACGAGAAGAATTAAACAGATTCAACAATTTATTATATATTTTACAAGAGTAAAGTTTAGCATGAAAGACATTTAACCGGCTCAGTGAGTATTTTTAATTAACCCTAACAATGTACAGAAGCCACCTGAAATAAACTTTTACCTAAACTAACTATCAGGCAGGAACCAATGTCGTGGTTGTCGAAATTCTCTAGCTAAATTAACTCTCGGCCCACGGAATCTGACACCGTTCCTCGGGGCGAGTCTCAAACCTCGCCGAACGGACAAATCTCCGCCACGTGACCGACTCCAAATTTACAAAGTCCAACTCAACACTACCGCCTTCTCCTACGTTCGTCTTGGCGAGGGGGGCACACAAAAATCAGCCTCACCGAACGGGAGAAAACTACTCCCCAAGAATACCAATTCTCGAATTATCCACTATTTAACAAAATTTCAACAGCTAGCGAACGTTCCCCTCAATCACGACACGAGGTTCCAGCCAAAACTTAAGTCCGCATAAATCGAAAAATATACCAAAATACACGGTCGGAAATCAAACCTATCGGGTTGTAGGTGGCAACTGATGTTTAGTAAACCATTTTATAACATTTTAGGGAAGAGATGGGCGCTGACAACACAAAAATCTAACAGATTACCCTGCCTGAATTTCAATACCGACCTATCGTATCTTGGCCTCCAAAGGAAGAGGCTGTGACGTCACTTTTTCTCCCAGAGTTCCTCGCTTCCTCGGACAGGGTTGTACTAAATTCCGGAAAACGACACGAAGCGACCCACGCGTCGCTACAATATTATTGATGGAAATACATTTGTAAATCCATTTTAAAGTGTACCCTGAGAGGTCATCTATGTTGACCTTGAAAAATAGTTCTGCACATAAAATACACTATGCCGAAAACGCGAATGCCGTGGAATGTTCCGTTACTGAGAAATTGCGACTTTTCTGAAAAACACACCTTTGGCTGAGAGGCGTTGACCTCGTTTTCGGGCACCCAAACCTGTGACGTCATAAGTTCAACGCTTTTGTTGATGCAGCCATATTGTCTTTACTGTGCTACATGTGATTGTGATCTATTTTAGGATTTTCCGTGGTAATTTCTTTGTTTATTTACGTGAAAGTACTTCACATCTTCGCAATATCTAAGGTAGTGAACGAGGGGTCGGTAAATTAGCGCTTAAATCCGCTAAAATGGCTTCCTATCGAGGAGGGAAGCGGTGTGTATGGTTGTCCTAACACTAACACGGATGGGGTGTCGATGCATGACGTCGATAAATAAAACTGATTGTTGATTAAATAAAAGTATATTTGTTAGGTTGATATTTTGTTATTAATTCTACAACTACACATTTTAAATTGATAGGCCAGCCTATGACTTGGGCGGTCATAGGAATATTATTACTTCGTAATCGTGAACGCCTAATGCTCGGAGAAGGCCTAGTCGTGAATGGGTCACGGGAATTTTTACCCCGAGAATTTTCATACTACTATTATATAGTATAGAATAGAATTATTAGAATTTATAGAATAGGTTATGTGTGTATGTTGTTTGTATAAGGTGTATTTGGTTTTTAGATCTTCCAGCAGACGATGTTGTTTAGTTATTAATTTTGCAATCGTAAAAATAACAATAAGATCACCAATCTTGATTTGAAAACACAGTTCACAGTGTAGAGATGTCATCTAAACTCATAATCACACCTGTGCCAGGTTAGGTAATTAGCACCTCTGTGGCTGGAAAAACAATTGTGACACCTGTGAGGCGACACGCCTGTCGGCTAACAACAGACGCGTACCAGTGCTAGGGTAAAAACCAGTCAAATAATTGTTTAAACTTCTAAAATATCAAATTTTTATTATTAACACAGCGGAGGGTGTTATAATTGGTTGTTGACACCCTATCTATATATATCCATAGTGCTACGAAAATTCCCTGGAAAGAAAAATTCCCCTCGGACGAAACTTTTTCGGAAAGAAAATTCCCGACACCTCGTGAATGTATGCATAGTCTTACACAAACGCGATTTCCCGACGTCAGAAATTGTTGATCGAGACTTGAAGATAGTAAAATTAGTCCAAAACCACACCCAATTTTATTTTGTTTCTTTGAAACGACGATTCACTGTTCGACTACTTTCACGACTACTGGTGAGACCCAGTGAAGTACGTGCCAATCTATGTTGCCCAAGCGATCGTCACTTTTCGAAGGGTCATTTTCCTCCTCACTGGATACATCGTCTTGTAATTCCAGTTCAAATCGGTAGGGCTGGATTCCGTCTTCAGACCTATCATTCACACCATAATCAGTAATTATGGGTAGGTGAGACCTTGAATTCTGTTACTATTACATGGGAGAGTGATCCCCCTTGGGTTTGGGCATGCGCAAGGTGATTTATGTTAACTTCACTCTGAAGCCTTGCACGCAGAACAGCAACATATAAATTTTGTAGCGCTATTTAGCCATCCTTGGAACAGATCGCAGATCGAGAATGTCACCAGTTCACAAACGGAAAACGCCGGCAAAGCGACCAGGGGGGACGCCAGCCCGCCCGAGGAGCGAAAGGAAGAGGAGGAGGCCGGATCGTCTTGAGGAATTCGAGGCAGCACCTGTTAGGCCTCGTGCCGGGAGAGCGAGCTCGCCGCCGCCATGTGCTCCAGGGGAGGATACAGAGGAGCAGGAGGCTCCGCCGTCCGAACAACAGGAGGACGAACACCCCGCGGCAAACCAGCAGTGTAACAACTCGTCAAGGGGTAGGCAGGCAGCGCCACAGGAATGTGGTTTTATTGATAATAGTAATGTTCAGAATATATGGTAGTCCGCCCTGGGTTTCGGGGGGAAAACAATGCAAGGCACTTACGGGGGGCAAATATTGCAAGGCACGGGGTCCCCACAGCTAGCCAGGAGTTCCATGGGAACGCATACATTTTCGCAGGGGTTAGGTGGGGCTATAAATACACTGCCCACGTTAAATAGACCTCGCGGCAGTGAGCCGGAGCCCATCAATGTAGTCCCGTGTGTGGAAGACGGAATCGCGGCCCATGTTCCGTTAGTGTTGCAACAAAAAATTCAATCAGGGCAATACATAAACTTAGCGTTACTTTTGAAAGGAAGTGCAGACCTGCAAGAGTTTTATGCAGGAAGTAACCTATACCTTAGTGATCAGGGTGTATTGGAATCTAGGCCTAGGGTGGTAAAGGACAAAGTTCAAAACATTGAAAAATGGACGGATGCGTTCATTATGTTTATGGCTATATATCTACAAAGGTTCCCTCATAAGACATTTGAGATGCTGAAATATATGTCAATTATTAGAGAGGCAGCGGGAAGGGGAAACAATTTTGCATGGCGGACATATGACGAACAATTTCGTCTCCGCCAGGCAACAAACCCCAAGCCCTGGGATAGACTGAACTCAAATTTATGGCTCCACTTGATGACGGTACAAACATCATTAAGTCAGAGTGGGGCGAGTAACGTTGGAAATAAGTTGCCAACAAAATTTGCTTCAGCTATAATGAGGGACAATGCAAATTTAATCCATGTCATTTCCGACATGTATGTAAAACTTGCCAAGGAAATCACCCACAACTGAAATGTTCCTCTTTTCGAGGCAAAAATCAGAAAAACACAACCATCACCCCTGCAACAATATCCAAAAAATAAATTTTCACTGGGCAAATCTCCTATTAAATTAGATGCGCTTTATACACTAATTGAGAACTACCAAGAAGCAAGCATCAAAGAAGACTTAATCAATGGTTTTACACATGGTTTTCAACTACATTACACAGACCCACGTCTTCCTACTATATCAGATAATTTGCCTTCCATCAATAAAAACATAGACTATGCGAGAGAAAAAATTTTCAAAGAAATTAATATGGGGCGAATAGCAGGCCCATTTTCTGATAAACCGATCTCAACTTTGCGGATTTCACCTTTGGGCTTGATTCCCAAGAAAAATCCGGGTGAATTTAGACTCATTCACCATTTACCCTGAAAATTACTCGGTGAATGATTACATTGACCCAAATCTGTGTTCAGTAAAATACACCAAATTTGATGAAGCAGTTTATCTAGTACAACGCCTGGGAAAAGGGGCCCTTTTAGCAAAAGCAGACATTAAATTGGCATTTCGTATATTACCAATTTGGCCTGGAGATTTTGATTTATTTGGTTTTAAATTTGAAAATCAATATTTTTATGATAAATGCTTGCCAATGGGATGTTCTCTGTCATGCGCACTATTCGAAAAAGTTTTCAACCTTTTTAGAGTGAGCAGTAAATCGCCAAGCAATCGCAGGAGAAATATTACAGTATTTGGATGATTTCCTTTTTGGCGGTAAGCCTAATACTAGTCAGTGCCAGTGCATGTTGACCAAGTTTGAAGAAGTATGTGACAAGTTAGGTGTACCTATTGCTCCAGAAAAAACAGAGGGTCCTACCAATGTCATGTTTTTGGGGGTTTAGAGATTGATACAGTTGAAATGTGTGTCCGAGTACCGGCACAAAAAATTCAAGAGATTGTCCAAAAAATCCAGTCTATCCTTAAGGGCCCAAAAACTACCTTAAAAGCTATGCAATCATTATTGGGGGTTCTGAATTTCGCTTGTAAAGCAATAGTGCCAGGTCGTACTTTCTGTAGGCGTCTGATCAACGCTACCATAGGACTTACTCAGCCGTATCATCATTTGAGAGTTACTGCAGAAATCAGGGAGGATTTAAAAATGTGGTTAAGGTTTTTCAAAACATTCAATGGTATCTCCGTTTTTATTGACCAATTTTGGACAACGAATTCAGACATGGAACATTTTACAGACAGCTCTGCAAAAAAGGGAAATGGTTTTGGGGCATATTTTAATGGTAGTTGGGCATATGGGGTATGGCCAGAGTTGTGGTTTGAGCTAGGATATACCAGGGACATCACAGTACTAGAGTTCTTCCCCTTGGTGGTGGCAGTATATATTTGGGGTGATAGATTACAGAATAAGAAAATCATATTCCGCAGTGACAATCAGTCAGTGGTAGCAATAGTTAACAAGATGACAACCAAATCGCCAGTTGTGTTAGCGATGTTAAGGCTATTTGTGTTACGTTGTATATATTTCAACATAGTGTTCAAGGCAGAACACATCCCTGGTTGTTGTAATGTAATAACAGATAGTCTGTCACGTTTACAGCTGAACAAATTCCATCGACTGGCTCCACAGGCAGAACCCACACCAGTTCCAATCCCAACGTGGCTATGGTCCATTTGTCAGATGAAATTGGACGACTTTTAAATGCTAGTCTTTCAGTCAATACAAAACGAATGTATAGGAGTGCATTATGCAGTTTTCAACAATTCCGGACTCTATTTGGTATAGGGCACAGTTTGCCGGTACCTCTGGCACACCTTCTGTGGTTTATAGCATTTCATTCTAATAAGGGCTCAGCACCCAGTACAGTAACCTCGTATTTATCGGCAATAAGCTATGTTCACAAATTACATTGTTGTAAAGATCCGACTTCATTTTTTATTGTCAATAAAGCAGTGGAGGGGTTCAGGCGGTTAAGAGGTGGTCCAGATACAAGGGCTGCTATCACATATGATTTACTGCTTAAAATTTTTAAAGTGTTGCCCAGCATTGCAAAATCTAGTTACGAAAGTCAATTATTCAGGACAGCATACTGTTTAGGGAGGGACATCAAATGGCTGGGCAAGCGTGGAATGTCCTGGTTTGATGTGAGAGGAGCCTTGAACTATCATTTGAGCCGCCATTCTCCACCACATTTTCTTGTTATCCACGTCGGAGGTAATGATCTTACAACAACGCCAGCTTCAGAGTTATGTGCGCGGATTGAAAATGATGTGTTCACGCTAGCCAGGAACCTACCATCCTGCATATTTATATGGTCAGATATGTTCCAAGTGGCATGTTGTGGCGAGCAGGCATAATTTTATATAAATTTCAATATGTATAGGTTTTTTTGTGTGTATTACATGTAGAAAGTGGGTAATTACTTGCTAAGGTTTACCCTAGGTGTCGGTTAAACCCACTTATTATAAAGGGTTATTGGTTAATTCCCCATCTAACTTGCCTCGTGAATCCCAGGGAGTCGTGAGGGTGGAACTTTAATGTAATGGTATTTAGGATATATATTTAGTATGTTAGTAATACTTGCCAAGGCTGTACCCTGGAAGTATGGTGGAGCTTCGTCGATCTGGGTAGATCGTCAAAGCTAAGGATAGTTGGTTTCTCCGGGGGGAGAAGGTTACGCAGTACTTGCCAAGGTTATACCCTGGAAGGTTGCGGTGGAGCCTTATAGGACAAGGCTAATTATAATCTGGTACATGCAAACTCTGCCAAGGTTTACCCTGGGGAGGGTAAGTTGCTGATGTGTCCGGTACCGGTTGGTAGATACTCAGTGTGGTGAACTTACCGTTGCATGTACCATTTGTGTATTCTAGTCATTTATAATATAGAATATTATGGTAAAGTTCTAACCTGCTTTGGATAACCCAGGGGGAGGAAATTACCGGTCATTGTAAATGCCTGCTCGCCACATTTTTGGGGCAAATATATATCATTAAACAGGCTGCGGTCATTTAATCCAAACAAAGTGTATTTGTTATTATTACAGGAAACATCATAAAATAAATGTACTTTTGTCTTTATTTATAAATATCACTAGCTGATACATTAAAGATGTAGCAAACAACTTATTCATGATTATGTATAACATGTTATATATGCCATATATTCATATGTTTTGTATACAAATCTGTACATCTTTATCCTGAATAAATTTATGATTATAGATGCACCAAGAATTACAGTATTTACAGTCGAGTCACTAGGCACTCCCTGTCATTATTTTTGCTCCCCGTGCGATGATTCTTCTCTATTTTTGTCACGTGCACCTGGATTGTTTACACGAGCCACGTGTGTTGTGTCGATGTCGTTTACTGTTGTATTCGTGTCGTCGTTCTCTGTCGTGTCCAATATCATGTATAAAGCAAATTCTTCAAAATCCTACTTCTGTTGGCGTGATTTGGTCTGAAGTACGACTGGTTTGGCTGATCCCTAGGGACAGAGAGTTATATGTTGTGTGTTATTAGCTTAGATGTTTAGAATTCCACGAAAGCCACGTGATAGACCTAGGTTCAATGTGATTCTTGTTAAACGATGTTTTCAAACAATTGATGTCAATTCCATATTTTCAGGAAACTCTTAACTACTGTGTGACATTGAATTGCATTTTTTGCATACTGTTAGTCAAACCATGACAGTGCAATGAGGAAGGGTCCAGAAATCTTTTAAAAATAATGTTTACGACTCCCGAACGATGGTATCAGATCAATGACAGATGGATTGAAGACTTAACACAGCGACGACAAATCAAGAATCACATGACATCAAAACTGAGCACATAGCACCATGCCACAAACGACAGACTAGGCACATCGGACAAAAATGCCAGACCAAGCACAGGCGCAAAAACGACAAACCAAGTAGATCATTCAACAATCACAACTCGAGCACATCTCATATTGGAGACAAGCACATCACATATCGACGACAGACCAAGCACATCACATATCGACGACAGACCAAGCACATCACAATATCGACGATAGACCAAGCACATCACATATCGACGACAGACCAAGCACATCACAATATCGACGATAGACCAAGCACATCACATATCGACGACAGACCAAGCACATCACATATCGACGATAGACCAAGCACATCACATATCGACGACAGACCAAGCACATCACATATCGACGATAGACCAAGCACATCACATATCGACGACAGACCAAGCACATCACATATCGACGACAGACCAAGCACACCACATATCGACGACAGACCAAGCACATCACATATCGACGACAGACCAAGCACATCACATATCGACGACAGACCAAGCACATCACATATGGACGACAGACCAAGCACATCACATATCGACGACAGAACAAGCATATCACATATCAACGACAGACCAAGCACATCACATATCGACGACAGAACAAGCATATCACATATCAACGACAGACCAAGCACATCACATATCAACAACAGACCAAGCGCATCACATATCGACGACAGACCAAGCACATCACATATCGACGGCAGACCAAGCACATCACATATCGACGACAGACCAAGCACATCACATATCGACGACAGACCAAGCACATCACATATCGACGACAGACCAAGCACATCACATATCGACGACAGACCAAGCACATCACATATGGACGACAGACCAAGCACATCACATATCGACGACAGAACAAGCATATCACATATCAACGACAGACCAAGCACATCACATATCAACAACAGACCAAGCGCATCACATATCGACGACAGACCAAGCACATCACATATCGACGGCAGACCAAGCACATCACATATCGACGACAGACCAAGCACATCACATATCGACGATAGACCAAGCACATCACATATCGACGACAGACCAAGCACATCACATATCGACGACAGACCAAGCACATCACATATCGACGACAGACCAAGCACATCACATATCGACGACAGACCAAGCACACCACATATCGACGACAGACCAAGCACATCACATATCGACGACAGACCAAGCACATCACATATCAACGAGACCAAGCACATCACATATCGACGACAGACCAAGCACATCACATATCAACGACAGACCAAGCACATCACATATCGACGACAGACCAAGCACATCACATATCGACGACAGACCAAGCACATCACATATCGACGACAGACCAAGCACATCACATATCGACGACAGACCAAGCACATCACATATCGACGAGACCAAGCACATCACATATCGACGACAGACCAAGCACATCACATATCAACGAGACCAAGCACATCAAATATCGATGACAAAAAAAGTACATCATATACCGACGACAGACCAAGCACATCACATATCGACGACAGACCAAGCACATCACATATCGACGAGACCAAGCACATCACATATCGACGACAGACCAAGCACATCACATATCGACGACAGACTAAGCACATCACATATCGACGACAGACCAAGCACATCACATATCGACGACAGACTAAGCACATCACATATCGACGACAGACCAAGCACATCACATATCGACGACAGACCAAGCACATCACATATCAACGAGACCAAGCACATCACATATCGATGACAAAAAAAGTACATCATATACCGACGACAGACCAAGCACATCACATATCGACGACAGACCAAGCACATCACATATCGACGAGACCAAGCACATCACATATCGACGACAGACCAAGCACATCACATATCGACGACAGGCCAAACACGTCACATATCGATGACAAAGAAAGTACATCATATACCGACGATAGACAAGCACATCACATATCAACGAGACCAAGCACATCACATATCGACGACAGACTAAGCACATCACATATCGACGACAGACCAAGCACATCACATATCGACGACAGACCAAGCACATCACATATCGACGACAGACCAAGCACATCACATATCGACGACAGACCAAGCACATCACATATCGACGACAGACCAAGCACATCACATATCGACGACAGACCAAGCACATCACATATCGACGACAGACCAAGCACATCACATATCGACGACAGACCAAGCACATCACATATCGACGACAGACCAAGCACATCACATATCGACGACAGACCAAGCACATCACATATCGACGACAGACCAAGCACATCACATATCGACGTCAGACCAAGCACATCACATATCGACGACAGACCAAGCACATCACATATCGACGACAGACCAAGCACATCACATATCGACGACAGACCAAGCACAGACCAAGCACATCACATATCACAGACCAAGCACATCACATATCGACGACAGACCAAGCACATCACATATCAATTCATTCCCTAGCACATCACATATCGACGACAGACCAAGCACATCACATATCGACGGCAGACCAAGCACATCACATATCGACGACAGACCAAGCACATCACATATCGACGACAGACCAAGCACATCACATATCGACGACAGACCAAGCACATCACATATCAACGACAGACCAAGCACATCACATATCGACGACAGACCAAGCACATCACATATCAACGGCAGACCAAGCACATCACATATCGACGACAGACCAAGCACATCACATATCGACGACAGACCAAGCACATCACATATCGACGACAGACCAAGCACATCACATATCGACGACAGACCAAGCACATCACATATCGAC